GCGGTTGCATCAATTCTAGCCCTGCGTCCTGTTCACACACAGCACACTTGGAATCCTGCAGCGACCCCAGGACTGTGGAGGGCTGACCGCCACCTTTCTCAAGGCCACCACCCCGTTTTTAAGGCTTGTAATTTATTGTTTGGTGGGCATCTTCTCTGGGTCCACTGCTGTGCTCTTGTGAATTTACCAAAATCACCAGAATTGTTTGGTGTATTATGGTTTGCTCTGGCTCCAAGTCAGGAAACATGACTTAAGTATGGGCCAGTATGATTTTTAATAATAAGTTTGAGTCAGAATTTTAGGGTTAAATAACTTTTAGGAATAGGACAGATATTTTCCCCTTAAAAATTAAAAATTAGAAATATTTTTTGTGGTGAGTGATAAAGAATATTTTAAGTTCTAAAATTTTCCTCCATCATATTAAAGCATTTTAATGTTTGTCTTTTAATTTTTAAATCTCTTTTTCAGTCCTTATTCCATATGGGTAAATAGCATATTAGATAGTTAAAAAAACCAAAAGGTTATTTTTTATTTTAAAAATATTACTTGTTAACTGCAAAACAATGGGAAACCTGGAAGAGGATAAAGAAGAATATGAATCGTCACTGCCCTGTAATCTGGAAACAGCTATATATGGCATTTTGGTAGAAAGCCTTCTAGTCTTTTCTCCTTTTTCCGTGATGTACAACACACACACATGATGTTAGTGCCTCAGCTGTGAGAATCACTGCAGAGCAGGGTCAGAAGACAGCCAGTGCAGGTGGGAGACCCCAGGTGAGGGCTGAGACCCTAGGAAAACTGCGGGGCCTGTAGGACGCTGCTCGTGGCCGTGTGAATTCTCGGGGCCCAGACACTTGCTGTAGGGAGTCTCCCCTTGTTGAAGCTGGAGTTCTGGAGAATACAATATCCCGACTGGACAAGTTCTCCTGCCAGCTGGGTGACTCCACTATACTCTGAAAGGTCTGATGAGACACTGTCAAATTATGTATTTCATTATTTGCAGAAGTGACAACACACTGATTACAGTTTAAGCTGACAGTTATCATTTTTCACCAGTTGTATTGACTCTTAGTCAAATCTTAAGTTTCAATGCTAAATGTCACTATTCTTGAGATGAATACAAATTAATCCCCAGGTTTGATTCATGAAATACTCTTTAATTTGTTTTCATAGCAGCAGACAAGAGTTGAGGATCTCTTTTAGATCTGTTCATTGGGAGCCACAAATTCATTAATCCTACAAACAGAAGTGTGTGGCATCACTTCTGTGTGCCAGAAGCTGTTCTAGGCTCAGGAAATCATGGCAAATAAAATGTTTCTGACCTCAGGGGCTTACGTTTCAGTGGCCATGTGGAGAAGAAACCAAGAAGGAGCAGCTGTTCATGCTGTGACCAGGAGGCCTCGTCAGTGGCGGTCAGGACTGCCACTCTGGGCTGCCTGGTCTTGAACCTGAAGTTCAAGGACGTGTCAGCCCTGCAGAAACCTGGTGGCGAGGGGCATTCTGGGGAGGGTGCAGTGAGTGCAGAGTGTGATGTGGGCCGCCCAGCCCACTGAACATGGGAGAGGAGCAGGACATGGGAGAGACAGCCTAGAGGAGACGGAAGAGATGTGGGGTCCATGGTGAGGGGTCGGGTTGGTTGCACTTCCCATGGGAGGCCACTGGATTGTTCAGAAAAGTCTAGTGGACCTTGAAAAAGTACCACGTTAGCTATGACACAGAGAACGCTTTATGGGAGAAGGGAGCAGGGAGGCCAGCAGGAAGGCCCAGACATCCAGGAGGGAGCTGGGGGGTGGGTTGGGTCCCAGGGTCGCCACACGGAAGGACTGGGGCTTCAGATGACAAGTCCAGGCTTTGTGAGGCTGGAGAGGGAAACAACCAAGGCTTCTTGGTTTGGAGTTTGAGCAGTTGGGGATGGTGGAGCCATTTACTGAGGTGAAGAGGTTGTGGGGGACCGGGTTTAGGATTTATGGGATGTTTGGGATTCTTATCAGACGTCCCGGTGTTGTCATCCATGCATACAAGCCCGGAACTGAAGATGGAGGATGGTGCTGGAGGTTTACGTCTGGAGTCGTCAATGTGTGGCCTGGAATCAGTGCCCGAGGGTGAGGCCACGTTGCTTAGGGTTGCTTAGGGTTCATTCCTTCAACATTGGAAGCAGTCGCACCACAGAATTTCCTGTGATTCAGAATCTGCTGGAAACACCTTGAGCTGCTGCTTTTTCTGAGCACTGGTGTCATTCAGGAAGAAGAAATGAAACTAGCATCTGTTGAAGGGCTAATGTGTGCTGAGAATTGAGCAGGACAGTTTTTGTGTGTGTGAGAAAGATTGTCGCTGAGCTAACATTGGTGCCCATCTTCCTCTATTTTATGTGGGACGCTGCCACAGCATGGTTTCATGGGCAGTGCTGGTTCTGCGCCCAGGATCTGAACCAGTGAAACCCCACACTGGCAAAGTGGCGTGCACGAACCTAACCAGTACGCAACCGGGCCGGCCCCCCAAGACACTTTTTATGCTGTGTCTCATTGAGTCTTCCCCGTGGTTCTTGCGTTTAGCATGTGAGGAGGCTGGCTCAGTCATCAGCCAGCCGGGTGATGGTGTGACTGAGAATTGAGTCCAGGATGCAAGTGCATGTCTTTCTGCCCCCTTTCTGCTTTATCGTGTTTCCAGTTGGCACACTTGCAAAGGAGTGGCCAAATGTTCTTTTGCTTGCTCTTGCAAATTATGTGCAATTCTAAAGTAAACATACCACTTCCCATATATATTTAAAAAATTTATCCAAGCAATGCTTGCTTATGGCAAAGACAAGAAAATTCCTCAACAGAACAGAAGGCTTTAAGGTGGGAATTAAAGAACCCTTGTTTCTTCCTCTTTAAGGAGCATTCCTTTTCCACAAATTCCAGAAATTTTCCAAGACCATTTAGCATATGTTTATGTCTATTCATTATAAGACTCAAATAGAATAATGTTATAAATATTGTTTTGTAACTTTTTTATTCACTTAATAATATCTCCTGGACAGCTTTCCATTTTAGCAAATTTAAATCTAAGATATTTTTAATGGCATCATAATATTTCATTTTATGGTTAACTTGTCATTTATTTAATCAGTACTCATGGAAATTTAGATTATTTCCAGTTTGTTTTTAAACATTTGCAAACAAGGTTGCAGTGAACAGCCATATGTCTATGTCTATGTGTCTATGTATGTGTATCTCTGTGTCTGTATCTATATATCTGTATCTATATTTATAGCTGTATCTGTATTTATATCTGTATCTATATCTCTATCTGTATCTGTTTTTATATCTATCTGTATATTTATATCTGTATCTATATCTCTCTATATATCTGTCCTGTATCTATATCTATGTATCTGTATCTGTATTTGTATCTGTGTTTGTATCTGTATGTATATCTGTATCTGTATATCTATATCTGCATGTTTCTGTATCCATATCCCTATCTGTGTCTATATCTATATATCTGTATCTGTATATCTGTGTTTGTATCTGTATATGTATCTGTATGTGTATCTGTATGTATATCTGTATCTATATATCTATATCTGCATGTTTCTGTATCCATATCCCTATCTGTGTCTATATCTATATATCTGTATCTGTTTATATATCTGTATTGCTATCTGTATCTGTATCTGTATCCATATCCCTATCTGTATCTATATCTATGTATCTGTATCTGTTTCTATATCTGTATTGCTGTCTGTATCTGTATCTGTATCCCTATCTCTACCTGTATCTAGATCTAGATCTGTATCTGTTTCTATATCTGTATTGCTATCTGTATCTGTATCTGTATCCCTGTCTCTACCTGTATCTAGATCTAGATCTGTATCTGTGTCTGTGCTTCATGATGCTAGTATCTGTACAGGATAAATCCCTGGTACTATGATTGCAAGGTCAAAATGCATGTTTATTTTAAATTTAGATAAATATTGCCAGATTGATTCAAATAATGTCACCCTGTTTATAATCTTATTAGTCCCCCAACTTTATCCACAATGACATTTTTTTAATGTTAAAATTTTTGCTTATCAGGTGAAATATTATTTCCCTCTGACTTTAAGCTTTTCACTATGAGTAAGGTAAAACATTTCTTGTATATTTTTAGTGGTCTCTACTTCTACGAATTGTCTCTTCCTATCCTTTGGCCTACTTTTGATTGGGTTGTCTTCCTTTTCTTATTGACTTATAGGAACCCTTTATCTGTTCTGTATCTTTGCAAGTATTTTCTCCTAGTCTGTTGCTTAGTTTGAATTTTGTTTATGGTTTGTATAGATATTTTTACATGTAGTTAAATTTATCATCCTTTTCCATTAGAATCTCCATCCTTTGCCATAGGAAGCGTGGCACCCTTCTCTGGAAGAACTTCTAGAAGCTCAGACTTAGTTATGTAGCATTGCTTTTGTGTTTGGAATTGCATAGATGACAGCGGTGGAAATAAACGTGCTGTGTTTTGCTGGCTCCAGTGTCCCACCTGACTCCTAGAGTCTTGTGTTTCTGATGTGAAGAGCTCCTGAGGGGCTGTCAGGTGCTCTTTATCTTCCCTGCCCACCTCTGCATTTCTCCTGGACTGCAGCTCCTTCTCCTCTTTTAATTCCTTCTTGCTGGCTCTCTTGTCCACCATCCAAAGTTTTACCTCCAGTTGCTCCCTCTTGTCCCTGCCACCATTGTGTCTAACATTCCGGCTTTCTTGACCCAACTTGGGCAGTCCCCCTGCCACCATCACATCCTCCTAATGGTCTGCTTGAATGCCCACCAGTCATGGGGTAGTTGTGGGCACTTCTTAGCCTATTTATTCTTCTTGGTACCACACATGAGCACATGAACACCTTGCTCATGTGCGCACACTTTTAGTGTGCGTGATTATTCCTGAATGCGGATGGACTCCAGAAATCGGGCTTTAATGCTAGCCTTTTTCTGGGATTGACTATCTAGAAAACTTTTTACCACATCTGCTCTGATTGTATATGTGAAATTTGCTCAAAAGAAGTTTCTAGTTTTTCTCGTTTTCCATTTTTAGATTTTTTTTCTTTTCTTAAAAAATGACTCTGTGATCTGAGGTAAAGTGACTTCGCAGAGTGACCGCAATCACAGTGCCCCACACAGCTGTGTGAGGCTCGCTTGGTGGCGCTCATGTGGTGTTCAGTTGCAGAGAAGGGCACCTTCTAGGACAAGGGCTGGATGAGGACAACCCGTTTTGAAAAACGACCCTGAGGGGATTCACCAGGCATTTTTCTTCCATGTGGAGATGTTGTGTTGCTTTTCAGCTTGGATTTTTTTCCCCTACAAAAATACCTGCCACAGAGCTAAGGAGCTGGTCAAATTTTGTGTGACTCGACTTCCAGCTGGCCGGGCGGGAAGGTGCCAGGCCAGTTCCAGTGCAGGGGATGGCCCCTGAAATCTCTGGCCCCAGAGACCGGGAGACCAGACCGTTGGCCTGGGAGCGACAGAGGCCTGAGGGGGCAGGAGGGGCGCCCTGCTTTCCAGAGAAAATTCGGTCTCCTCCTCCACTTCCTGTCCTTTGACTCCTAGATGGAGAGGCTCACAGCACACACAGCTAGGACCTCTGTGGATAAAATTAGGGCAGTTTGCATGATGTCAGTTAAGCTTTCTTGATGTATTTTGCTGTTTTTGACAAAAAAGAATCAACTCCATGAACCAGTAGTTGGTGAAGGACACGGGCTCAGCGTAAGAGTTGGGAACTGCTGGAGTGTTTGAATATTTTGGGATACACAATGGGCATTCTCTTTCAAAATGCAATTAAAATAAATGCAGAAGGTGGATGGAAAGTGTGCACAGTGACTTAAGAAATGGATTAAACAATAACAGCCTCGACTCATACTCACTCTGTTCAGTGGGTGTAGCGCTCGGTGTAAAAATCCTGTCGAGGTAAGTGCTTTTCAAAGGGGCGATGCAGATGGGGTGTGGATGTGGTCAGGGACATGCTGACTGGTCAGTTGGCTCAAAACCAAGATGGCACCTCTGTCCTACTTAGCAGCTGTGTGCAGGTTAGAGCAGGTCTGAAAAGGTGAGGTGCTCAGCAGCCTCCGGGGGACAAGCAGTTTATAGAGAAACAATCAATAGTGGCTATTTGAAGGCTGGAGTTTCATATCCTTTAACCCTTGCTTTACCTGGGATAGTTCATATTTATCAATGGAGGCGAGACCTTGTGCTGATGTCCACGCATGCACCGGGCAGAAAGCCTTCACATCTTTGATTTGAGTGGCTCTGAACTGAGGCCCACTTCTGGTCCCAGGAAGCTGCTTGGCCCCCTACGCACAGGCGAGCAGGGGAGGTGAGCAGCACTGGTGCCCGGCTCTGGCCTCCACACTGGACAGGCCTCAGAGCTGCCTGGAGAGATTTAAAATGCAGGTTCTCGGGCAACAGGGTGTTTGGAGGTTTGGTCCAGGTGTGTGTATTTTAAGGAAAGTGGAGTTGGGACCAGTGTCTGCCCTAGGAGAAGGTGGATTCATCTGAGGATCTCTGTCCCCAGCAGCCTGTGCGGGTCCAGTCAGCAGCATGTCACTGCGCTGACCACCAGCAGACAGGGAGGCTGCACTGACCAACGTGTGGGGGTAACAGGCCTGAAAGAGGCACTTTATGTTCTAATATGACAGTCGAGCTGAGGCTTTCAGGAAGGTTAAGCCTTTCTGATACAGCTGAATAAATCACCCCTGTCCCAGTATCACCCAAGAAACGGCCCAGAAGGTGAGGAGGAAGCAGAAGAGAACTGGCTTTCTGGTTACTAAGAACAGGTATTAAGGTCTCATTTTTTTAATGTGGTGAACAGAGTATTTATAATTCATTTAAAATAATCACAGCTACCGTTTACACACTCTAAATGGGGAGAGAAAATGCACACAGACCTGGAACAAGAACAGTTGAAAAAACGCACCAGGCATTCTCACTGTGCTCTCCAGACGTCGGGCTCAAGCTCCATCTCCTCAGGGTTCACCTCCTTCTGTGTGGCCCATTCCTTATTGTCCTTATTTTTTGTATCCAGCCCCTACTGTGTTGTTAATTTTTACATACTATTTGCCAGTCTTGTCATTCCTATGAAATGGTGTCACCACAGTACATAAAATTTCCAGACCTAGACCTGGTGTGTCACACGTCTAGTATTTGGTAGAAAGGGCCTTAGGAACCAGCAAACCTGACTCTTTATTTTTAGATCAGAAAAGTAGACCAAGTTTGTTTAAAAGACTTACCCGTGAGCAACCGATTCAAGCCTAGGCAGGGCTTGAGGCCAGATACCACACAATGTGAAATAGAAAGTGCCTCGGGATTTGGGCCCCCATTTCAAGCTGTGGCTTTGCGTTTACCAGTTCTGTGACCTCACATGAGTTCTTCACTTCTCTGGGTCTGTTTCTTCCATTCTCCAATGAGAGGCAATTAATGATCTCTACTTACTTCACAGAGACGTTGGGAGAAGCAAGTGAGCTTGTGTTTGTCAGTAGTCTTAACTCTGGGTGCACAGTTGGATCTTTGGAAGATTCAACAGTGAGCGAACAGACACAACAGACGCCCAGCCCACCCGAGGGAGCTGACTTGGTTCACGGCGTGCTTTGTGGTCAACACTTTGAGAAGATCCCCGGGTGATTTTACTGTCCAGCCAGGGTGGAGAACATGAGCCATGTGGTACCGGCAGGTCCTCACTGTGGCTGGGAATGTTTGCTCCCAGCTTTCCAGTGCGAGCTCATCTCCCTGAGTAAGTGATGGAGCAGCATCTGTGGTCTTTTCAGATATGTTTCTTAGAACAAGCCATACTGTGGGTTGGCGATGGCACTATCATTTCTGTTCTTATGTTGAAGTAGAAAACTCTACTTATTAGGTGGAACCAAATTTAAGATTTTTAAATTAGTTCCTCTCTCTCTGGTCCATGGGAAACACTAAACAAAGCCAGCAGGACTCTGCTGTGAATCCTTGTTTGTGTCTCATTCCTTTCCCAGGGCTGACAACTATGGAACAGAAGCAATCGTTGGATATAAAATAGGCCACCTTGAAAAACAAGTGTCATGTGAAAGGCTTTAATAAAATAGAAAAAAGATTCTGACGTTTAAAACATTCCTAGCCAATTCCTTTAACTGTTTCTTTGGCCTGAATCCCCACATACATATTTATCAACTTTCTGAACATATTGACTGTGTGCATTTAAGGTTGACAAACAAGCTCCAAAGTGTTACTGCCAGCCAATTAGTTTCTAAAAGCCTTTCAAATAGTCTTATGTTCTCCACAGGAGCGATTTAGGTATTGGAAAAAAATCAGTGAACTCCACGTCGTTTGCTCTTCCAAGAACCCTGACTGCATGAGAGTGGGGCTTTCCACTGTGTTTGTGGGCACATTTGTTTATAAGCCGATGTGGTTTGGCTTGAAGGCCTGGCTGCTGGTGAGGACGAGCTTCTGACGTGGAGCCGTTCTGTGAAGAGCAGCTTTATGTTATATGAATATCGTTTTAAAAACTCATGTCTGCAGTAAGATATCCAGATGTTATTCAGGTTTTTTTCTTTAGAGTTATTCTAAAAGGCTTTTGGGTGAACTGGAATTTTGTCTTCTTGAAAGATAAAATAATATTTATGAAAGCTAGACCAGCTATTTTATGGACTCACAGAATTTAGAGGAAAATACATTTTTAGGTGAGGGAAGTGGGGTGTCCAGACATACTCGGGGACCTTCTGAAGTCCACACAGCCTGTTGGTGACAGAGCTGGAACCAGAGCTTGTTGCTCCCTGTCCTGCCCCTGAACCTGTGGACTGACACTTGTTGGTTGCACTGCCCATCAGGCAGGTGTCACTCCTCTGGGGACTGGGACCTGGATGTGTTTTGGGATGTGCTGAGGAGTAAACATGCCCTTTACCTCTGCTCTGCGGTTTTAGGGAATCTCCTTTCCTTCCTTTGAGAGAGATTACCCGCACTATTTGGGACATTTTCCACATAGAAATGAAATTGTTTTCAGAAGCTAATCCCTTTTGGTCGCTCAGATTTACTCTAATCTGTGGAAGCTAGCAGGAAATCAATTCACATTTTTCATGCACTTTTTGCTGGAAAGGTTCCTTGCAGAGGATCTGGACTTCTTTTGCCTGTTAATGTGCAATTTGGTGGTTATTGTCCCAGAACAGATGTGTTTACAGAAGAGCAGAGGTGATGTTCTCATGTGGTCTTGACACAGGCACGGCTGTGTGACATGGGACATGTGACCCCATGTGTGGGGCTGTCTCAAGGTGACATTGGAGCAGAGGACGAGCAGCCCTGGGTGTGCTTTCCTTTGGAGGTGACTTTGCTTCTGGGCCTGTTAAAGAACAGAGCTGGGAAACGTGTGCAGGTGCACACACACAAACATGGGTGTGCACACACAAACGTGAGTATACACACAAACATGCAGGTGCACACACAGACATGCAGGTGTGCACGCACACAAACATGGAGACACACACACAAACATGCAGGTGCAAACGAACATGCAGGTGTGCACACACACAAACATGCAGGCATACACAGAAACATCCAGGTGTGTACACACCAACATGCGGGTGCAAACACAAACATGCAGGTGTGCACAAACACAAATACCCCATTTTCCCACCCTTGTAGGGAACCAGTTTCGCTGCCTTCTGGGTTATGTAATGATACACAGATACTTGTATATTTATAAAATTCTCATCCTTTTTTTGCACTAAATAGCTCACTTCTACCTGGCTTTTTTCACTGACTAATATCCCCTGGAAATCGCTCCACGTCAGTCTGCAGAGGTCTTTGCTCTTTGGTACACTGACATCCTAGTCCAGGGTGTGTGTGCTGTTTTATTCACCCAGTCTCCTGTTCAGGATTGTTTTTACCCTAAGTGGCAGGGTGAGTTTAGTGTGACGTGAGGGGGCATGAGAAGGCAAAAAACAAATGAACACCATCCCATAGGAACCTCGAAAACCTGATGCTGAATGGAAGAAGCCAGACACAGACTACACGTTGTGTGATTTTTGTTTACGTGGAACATCCAGAAAAGGCCATCTCTAGAGACAGGGAGCAGGTGTGCGGCCGTACAGGACTGGGTGGGAATGGGGAGTGGCTGCCAGTGGGCATGAGGTGTCCTTTTGGGGTGGAAATGTTGTAAAATTAGATCATCACACACCCTGAAAAGATGCAAAGTCTTTAAGTGTACGTTTAAAACCAGTGAATTTTAGTGTCTGTAAATTATACCTCAATAAAGCTGTTAGAAATCAACCTCAGACGGCATGGACGACATTCCTGACAGAACATGATTACCTTTGATTGAAACAGGGCTTAGAGAATTGATACCCTTAGATATCCCGTGTAAACAAGTGGGATTGTTGGGAATCTCCCCCAAATAATAGACACTTTCTGTTACGATGCTTCAGATAGAAGTGTATTTTTCTGCTTGAGGGATTTAGTAGACTAATAACCTGTAAGGAAATTTGCTTATTTTAAACTGGCTGGGAGCGATTGATTTAATTCTTTTAAAGAGTTGAATTCTGAAGGACCTTGTAGACCACTTTGTTATGCCTTTCACCTCAGAGATGAGACTCGAAGAGTTTTTAAGCTCTAGTTATATAATAAACTTAGAAATACAATCCTCTACTCATGCTCTGCTCTTTAAATATTCATGCTGTTCTGTTAGGCAGCCATTAAAATGGTAATTATTAAAACTGTGTAGAAACATAGAAAGCTGTTTATAATACAAATGAAAAAAAGCAGAGTGCCAACTGAGCTAAATATCATGATTGCAGCTGGTCTGTCCATTTTGTGTGCATATTGAGATTTGGAGCCTTATGGATGAGAGCAGGATGCGTGTTCCATGATGGCTGGTGGGCATCTTTCCTAGAGTGCTCTTGAGTTGCTGTGTTGTGTCCAGATAAACTTCTTTTCTAAAAATGTGAAGGCTACCCCAGGGAGAATGCAGGATCTGAGGGGTTGTGCCAGTGTTGGGAGCTGCCTGTCTGCAGACTCTCCCTGGACGCCCTCTGGTGCTGGCCATGAGTGATGGGTTCTGTCATCCTAAGCCCCTGGGACGCTTCCCCTGTTCCCTCTCTTCTCATCCTGTTTTGTGGAATCTGCCGATGGGGCATGACTGTAGAATGACTGTTATAGGGGTGGTAACTACTGGTACCTGTCTCTGCTCGAGGCAAAACATGAAGACATTGGCTTACGTTGACACTCAAGTGATTTAGATGACACAAGAAGAGTGTTTGCTCTGGCACTGGTGTTTCTTGCCGCTGGAATGAGTCAGAGCGGTCGAGGCCGCTCCTTCCCTGGTTGGAGATTCCCGTGGACTGTCTGCATCAGGATTGAGGAAGGGAGGAGTGGGTCAGACGACACTCAAGACTCCCTGGGTCTTGACTCTTCAGTTTGTCTTTGACCAAGTGGCCTTCCAGGTGGCGGGCACGTCCTGGAGGAAGCAGAAAGCAGCTCCGTGTGCAGTGAGGCAGCACGCTGTTCCAGACCAAGTCCTTCCTGACCAGTGTGCCAGTCCCCTGCAGTGGATGCTGCCCAAGTCTCAGCCATGGCTCAGGTGGTGGAGAGATGTGACACTAGCGAATATTTAATACATTACGTCAACATACTCCTGTTCGAAGGGACTGGATCCCACTTTCTAAAACCTTTGGGTTTCTCTGGGTGATGCTTGCTGAGTGGTGAGTGGTAGTTATTAGCTCAGGAAACTGCACTTAATTTTAAACCGCTGTGCTTTTCTTGTTAAAGTGCAGAGATGGTATAGCTATTCCATTTCAGGGAAAAGAAGTGGGACTGAGAAAAACGAAGGGAGAGAAGGAGCCGGATGAACAGAGCAGAGGATGCATGTCGATGTGTCAACAGTCCTGCTCTACATCTTTGATGCTACGGTTGATCCAGTTTTCTGCTCTGGTTTAAACAATGTATTTTATGCTCTCTTTCCAAAGAGACATCTTCCTGGACTGTCTTTTGTCCCACTAATGCTTTGCTCAGAAACGTCTAGGGAACCTCTCAGTGCCAGTGGATTAAAACTTTGTCCTGGCGTCCACAGCCCTGCCGCCTGGGTTTGTGGGCCTGTAGTCACACACTGAGTCAGTCTCTTCCCAACCCTGTCACTCCCCTGCTCCCTCCAGCCCCCGAGTCTTCATTTCGTCCTGTTTCATTACCACACTTCTCCCCACTCAGCTTGCTCCATGTTCCTCTTTCTGTAGACCCCCATAGTGTTTCTGCGTTTACTTCTGACTTGGCATTTATTTTTAAATATTTCAATAATAAATCTGTAATCATAGCTACCATTTACAGTGTTTATAATGTGCTGGGCATGTTTTCAGTACTTTACATAAATCAGTTCATTCAGTGCTCAACAACTCAAGAGGTAACCAACATCATCCCTGGTTTATAGATGGAAAATGGAAGCAGAGAGAGATTAAGTCAGGTGCCCAGGTCACACAGCCAGTAAGAGGTGACCTGGAATTCCACCCCAGCCTTTGGACCCAGACTCTGCTCGTGACCACAGCTCTGAATGACCAGGAATAAGTTACCTTTTTAGATGTTTCCTTCTCCTAAAGTTTAACTTCTTCAAGTCAAGGGCAAAGCCTCCTTTTTCTCTGCTTTACCTCATTACATGGCCCTGCTCCTGAAATAAGGAGTCACTCTGTGAGCATCTGTTTTTTGATGTGACTGCTTGTCAGTGGTCAGTGAAGTTCTCATAGGTTTTCTGGGAGTTTTGGTTGGTTGGTTTGACCGATGGTTTTATCTTGATGCACTGACATTGTCTGTGTCCCTCTCAGTGCTGTATGAGGTGGTCAGGGTGCCTGTCGAGAATTCAGATCCCCGGCTCTAGTTACCTAAATGAATGGTGCTCGGTGAGGGGTGAACTCACTAATGTACGTGAAACCACATCTCAAATTTCGTTCTGTGCTTCAAAGTAAACATTTTAAGTTTGTGTGTTTTCTTAAGCAGTATTTTTATTACTTGGGTACTTGGTATGTCAGATAAAATAAGTAGGAGCGACCTGTCCTTGGCCTTCTGTGCAGTATCAAATCCTAAGTCCTTACTTAATTTTATGCAGATCCTCCCCGATCTGTCTGGGGGAGAAGAGGCTCCTTGTGAGGAAATAGTGAAGTTTGTTATGTAGAAGTTACCTTTAACGAGTACCCTGTGCATACAGTCTGAAGCTTTGGGATCAAATTAATCTTTCCTAGTAAAGACAAGGTACTTAGCCAAAAAACTGAAGTCCACATTGTTGATGTTTGTTTGCTGTGCCTCTGTCATCACATTGCCCAGTCAGAGAGGTCCTTGGGGTGCCCTGGGGGTTGTGTGTGTGCACCTTTGTGTTGGCTGGTGAGGTCAGAGCTGTCTCTGACTGACAATAAAAGAGTATTTGGAAGAGAATTGTGTAACTCACAGGATCAAGGGGAACATGGAGTGACCCGTCAGCCTCGGGAAGAGTAACTGTGACAAGAGTTGCATTGTTGGGGGCCACTCAGGAGCATCTTTGAAGTCTGGGCTGCAGACACGGCTCGGTTCTCTTTTCACTCAGTGCTCAGGACTCGTCTTCCTCGGAAGGGAACCAGATTTGCTAACTTAAGTCCGGGGCCCAGTTCTTAGCTGGGGTTATTGACAGGCCATCCAAGGCACATGAGATGGGAAAGGAGTGTTTCCAGTTAAGAGGGAGGGGACACAGGCACCTCTGACACCCACTTCCAGGATGGCTCATCTCAGAGCAGAGCACTTCAGGGGTGGCTGTGACTGGGACCATAAGTGTGTGGATATCACCCAAATTCAGTCACCAAGGTAATCCTCTAGGTGGAAGCTCCTAGCAGTTTAATTCATCAACAGATGTTTTGTCTTCAATTGTGAAAACTTGGTCTTTTTCTGTTCACATTTAAAAAATCATATTTATTTAGCTGTTTTCAAATATACACAAAAATATAATAGTAATATGAACCCATATTGTAGCATTGTCCAGCTTCAATAATTGTCAACATTTTGCCAATCTTGTTTCTGTTGATTACATTTTAAAGCATTCTCTTAAGGATATTTTTATAACTGGCTATATAAAAAGTCACAAGACTTAACATGATGTCTGAGAACTTGCTTTATGAACATAAATCTAAGTATCAAATGATCAGGAGTTTCATACCAAAAAATAATGTGTTGCCTGTTAGAACAAAAGATGGCTCTGTGCCTAGGGGTGGTTTTATTTCAGTCTGTAAGGCTTTCTCCTGGCTGGAGCCGTGAGTCAGCTCCTGCACAGCTCCCTTCCAGATCACCTCTCCCGAATTGGTCTCCAGTGGTCGGCATCTTCGGGTGAGTCAGAGGTCTCATTTGATAGTGAGGTCTTGGAGTGCCCGTCTGCATGCAACGCCAGAGCTGAGCGTGCTGTCACCTCTCTTGCAGTTGAAAGATGCATGAGTGTGATGCAGTCCGGGACACAGATGATCAAACTGAAGCGCGGGGCCAAGGGGCTGGTCCGGCTCTTTTATCTGGACGAGCACCGGACCCGCCTCCGATGGAGACCCTCCAGGAAGAGCGAGAAGGCAAAAAGTAAGAGCAGCCTCGAATTCTTTGCTGGGCTTGACGGGTCATGTTGGGTGGGCTCTGTGGGAGCTCCATATCTGTGGGACTTGCACATGTTTGCAGGTTTTGGGGTCAGTTGTTAAAGGATGTGGAGAGGCTGAATCAGTGACGACCATTTATGCTTTTTTAATTCTTTGGAGAATTTAAATCCATAAAAGTTTTCTTGTCCATGAATGCTGTAAATGCTCATATGTCCCGTGTTGGAGACATGATGTATTGTTTTATTTGGGATGTGAGGTTTTATAATCTGAGGCCTTTTATTTTCCTATAAAAGGTGAAGGATATCTTGAATCCAGTGGACTTGAAAGAGTATTACGATATTCTCAGCACAGTAAACTGATTAATGAGCCAATGAGACTGTTTCAATATCAACCAAAATGGCTTTGTTCTGACTCCCACTCTTCTGACTTGGCACAAGTCCGACTGAGTACCCCATCGCGGCTCTCGCTTCTACCCCTTCCGTCTTGTTCTCGCAGGAACCTCCTGAGTCCAGGATCTCTTCACCTTTCTGGTGGCCTATTTCCAAGGCTCCTAACCAGCCTGCATGTTGCTGGTTTCTCCTGCTTTTGTCAGTTTAGGTGCTTCCCCCTTCAGGTAGCAGAAGACCTCGGCTGAATCAGGCTTACCTGATAGACAAAGTTGGTACCTCGTGTGAGGAGACATCAGAGCTTGGCGGCCACAGGCGTGGGACGTTGAGCCTCCAGCTGTGCTTCCTGAGTGCTTGTGGCCCTGTCCCTCGTGCTGGCCTGTGACCGAGCAGCAGCTGTTCTGGGCCTTGGGACTGACGGGAAGTGAGGAGGCCGAGAGAAGGTGCACCTTCTCTTCAGGGAGGAGGCCTCCCTCAAAGCGGATGGCCTTGGTTTCCTGATCAGGACTGGGTTGTGTTCCCACCACAAATCAATCAGGAGAAACCGGAGTGAGGCAGCCGCAGTGGCCTGCGCCTGGGCACAGGCTCCTTCCCGGGGGGCCATGTGGGGAATGTGTCAATACCAGAGGAAAATGGGGACCCTGCCGTGAAGGCCGAGCCAGGAGTGGATGGTGTGCATGGGCCATCAGGAGGGTTGTAGGACTCTAATTTCTGCTTAAACACAAGCAAGCAAGCAAACAGGAAATGCTGTTTTATCTGAGGGGATGGTCCCACCAGTGCTTCTCACATCCCAGCTGGCAGTGTCGCTTCACTTCCTAGATGGTGCCGATGGTCAGGCTGTCACTCCAGGCTCTCCACAGTCCAGCCTCTGCCTGCCGTCCAGCCTCGTCTCCTGCCCTCTCCCTCTTGAGCCTCGCAGTCGGCGCCCCTGGAGTCAGGACCCCTGGAGTTGAGACCCCTGTAGTCGGGGTCCCTGGGTGGGCCCTCGTCCCCATGTCCTCACCCCTCTCCCCTGTGCCCTCTCTAACCCTGGTTTGCCATCACTGTCACAGCATCTCTCCCTAAAGGGCAGTCACACTAGCTGTGCTGTACGTTACCACCAGTTGTTTCTTCCTTCCAATTTTTCACTGTCGTTTTATACGTATTGTAAAACACCACAGTTGGTTCTGGGTCTTTGTATGTCTTCCCTGCATCAATATGCAGACTACGGATTTCACGCACTCATCGCCCCCTTCTCTACCAGTCCTCCTGCTCCAATGGCCGCCTCTCTCTTCCCATCATAAATTCCGTGCATCCTGACTCGGTGCCTGGGAGGGTTTGTCCAGACGGCCCCGCATGGAGACACCTTCCAGCAGGAAATGATGGGCTTGTATTGCACATTTGGACTGAAAACCACAGCTCACAGACAGTAAATTTGTTCACGCTTATTTTTTAATGTAAAATGACTTGCTTTTCCTTTTGCTTAATTGGTTTAAGCATCTTCACCTTCCGTGTATGTGTCTCTTTCCTCACAGTCCTTATTGACTCCATTTACAAAGTCACTGAGGGCCGGCAGTCTGAAATATTCCACAGGCAAGCCGAAGGGAACTTTGATCCCAGCTGCTGCTTCACCATCTACCATGGCAACCACATGGAGTCCCTGGACCTCATCACCTCCAACCCCGAGGAGGCACGCACCTGGATCACAGGGCTCAAATACCTGATGGCCGGCATCAGCGATGAAGACTCCCTTGCCAAGAGGCAGAGGACCCACGACCAATATCCTCCCAGAGCTTATTCTTGAGCCGTGTGTGCGTGTGCATGTGTGCATGCATGTGTGAAGCAAGCATTAGACTAAGCTTTATTTCTTCCCATAATTTGGAGGCTTAAAGCCGCTTTCCTGTCTGTCTTTGCCCCTCCCACCCTCTGTCCCTTCCTCACTGTCACTCCACGTTGATGGTGTGTGAACAATGTAGAAACAAGCTCATGTGGACTCAGGAGCAAACTCCTTCAGGGGAGACTGAATTTAGCTCCTCAACTGAGGTCTCCAGATGCAGCCTGAGGTTTCCCAAGAGAGACGAGGTCCCCAGGAAGGCATTGTTTGGATTAGAGAAAATCCTGCTTTGTTGTAAAGTCAGTTTAGTTTAACAGGTAGTTTTCGAGTTCCAGTCATGTCCGAGCACTGAGCCCTTGCTGCTCCCACTCTCTTTTTGGAAACTGGAGTGATTGAGACTCAAGGGAGGTTACTTTTTACTTAATAACATTTACTGTCTCTAAATTGCTCGAGGAACTGCAGCCTGGGTCTCATTCTTGATTAAGCCCGTCCTTGTGGTCCTGCAGGGCTGGCAAGAGAAGTGATCAGTGTGTTTGCTCTGGAGGCAGCTCTTCTGCGGTCCAGCCAGGCCTGTGACCTGGCCTTTCTGGCCGCAAGTTCCTTACCTGTAAAGCGAGGGCATCAGACTGGTCGACTGCCTTGGTTCCCTTCTTTGCATTTTTAATGACCCCAAAGTATGTGTGCCCCATCCCTGTGGGGCATGGGACTACCCCCTTGCTGTTGTTGGAACGTGAGCCCCGTTCTTTTTCCCACGGTGGTGATAAGTTTGTGCTGTTTCAGCTGCAGTTCCTCACACAGGCTGTGGTTGGAGCAGAGTGGTAACACTCAGCCCCTGGAAAAAAACTGCGCCAAGTCTGCACTGAGCAGCCATGATGTTTTCATCGAGATTCACGGCTTGCAGAGCAATGCCGCTGGGATCTGTGAATGAGCAAACGCAACACAGGAACTAACTTGCTGTGCTTTGTTCTCTTGGTTTGGTTCTTAACTCCTTTACGTTTTGTAAAAAACACAAAAAAATACTGAATTAGTAGGAGTGCTTTCTGGTGCAAGCCACAGAACCACGCCAACAGTGCCTCAAACCATAAAGAGTGCTTGTTTCTCATGAACAGGAGCTCTGAGACAGGGTCCTGGGGTCAGTTGGTCCGTGGCTTGGTGGTGCTGTTGGGGGCCTGGCTCTGGCGTCTTGCGTGTTTGCTTGGTCCTCAGCGGCTGCCGTTTGCTCAGAGAGAGCTGTAGCAGCTCCAAACACAGCCCTGCTGAGAGGGAGCAGAGTTTCTTCTCACAGATCTTTCTTTAAGAGCTAAGGAAAACTGCCTGGGAACCTCCCAGGAGATCCCTCTCCTCGCTGGCCAGAGTGCTGTGCAGGCCCTTACTGCACTGGCCAGGTCAGGAATAGTTGATGAGCGTCGCGGACTGTGATCTCAGGACCCTGGTGTGCCCTGAAAACTAAGGTCTCCAGAGTCTTTGTTTGTGTGGGTTTCAGCTATTGATATTTGTCATAGAAGAAATTAAATGAGAATTTAAAAAATATTTGTTGACTCATTAAAAATTACAGGTTAATGTAACTATTTTTTAATGCAAAGCAAATTAGTGAGAAGAGCAGTATTGCTTTTCTCTTTTGCAACATCTGTCTTAGTAAAATGCGTGGATTCTCGTGTCTGCTCTGCATTCGATCTGTTGAGATATGTCGTTGTAGTTGAAATGCACGAAGAAAGTCTCGTCTCACACAGGTAGAGAGTTGGAGAAGGGGGTTCTGGGGCCCCTTGGACAACAGTTTGAGGATGGCTGTACTCCGGCCAGTCAAGACTCTTCTGCTGCCTCCAGTTCCCAGGCTCCACGACAGCTCGTGGTTCTTAGATACCTGAGCAAAGCCAGGGTTCCTCAGCAAGGAAGAAGGGAAGGCAGTGGCCGTGGGAGGACATCAGTGCCAGAAGTTGCTATCCTCAACCGGCCAACTAGGGCAAATTCACAATATTCCAGGGCTGTTAGCCTCTTACATAAATTTCTCTTCTATCCTTGAAGTGGTAGACAGTGAGGGAAATGGGCGTATGTTGTCTCCTTTATAAGATTTTACTAATTAGATGAGAGAGACATGCTCATTGCAGGAAGCCAGAGAGAACGGAGCCGCACAAAGAGAGTGAGCATCTTTCCCCCGTCCATCAGTTTCACACCATCCCCCCAAGTTCTGATGTGGACAGCTCGATGCACAGCCACACACACTTTTCTCTCGCTCGTTTTTGAAGTGGCTTGTTTGTTTTTTATTGTTGAGTTTTAGGAGTTCTCTGTATTCTGGATATGAATCCCTTATCAGATACTGCCTGGGGTCCAGCCCCAGTTCTGCTGTGTTCTGTGTAACTTTGGGTCTGTCACTTAAACTCTCTTGCTTCTGGGTCTTATCTGTGACACAGTGATGATGTTAATTGCCTACCTACCTTCAGGTGAGTTGATATCCACAAAGTGCTTAGAATGCTGTCCAGCACATACTAGACACTTTATAAATAATAACTACTGTTGTTATTGCCAAAGAGAAGTGGGATCCGGCAAGTCTTTTGCTCTCCTGTGCAGCTAGATTAAAGTCTGAAATCTCAGTGGCCCCAGCCTACAAAGGTGGCGGTGCTGGCACCTTGCCTCAGCCTTTTTCTCCACCCGACCATTCTCCTCCAGGGTTCCCTCACGTTGTCTCTTGACCCCAGGAGGGAAATTGTAACCTCTGGATACTTTAGCGGTCCCTTGTAGATGCTGCAAACTGGAGCCTTTCACCTTCCCCACAGGTCAGGGGCCCTGCAGTCTGCAGCCTGTGGGACGAGTCAGGCCCACAGCCTGTTATTGTATGGGCTCCTGAGCTAAAGATGGGTTTTCAGTGGTTGAAAAAAATCAGAAGAGGAACATTTTGTGATACGTGAAAGTTATATGAAGTTCAGATTTCAGTGTCCATAAATAATTAATTGGAAAATGGCCATGCCGTATGTTTACGAGTTGTCTGCGGCTGTTTTCGCACTACACTAGTAGAAGTGAGTAGTTGCAGTTGAGACCAAATGGCCTGCAAAACCCTTTACTATTTACTCTCAGGCCCTTTTCAGAAAAAGTTTGCCCACCCTGCACAAAAAATACTGTTCAGTGCTTTGTATTTTTCTATAATTTCTTGATAAAAAATACTAGGCTGTGACTTTTCATTCAGTTTTTACTCTCAATTTTTCTTTGCAGAATGACGGTTTCTGTCTTAAACTTATCACGTGTCTGGCTGTGAACCATTAATTCAGGGCTTTCTGGGCACTTGCTCTTCAATTGTGAAGAACAGCCTTAGGCTATCAGCGTGCATTTCCTTGCAGCTGTGCCGTAAGCCTCGTGTGCTGTTCCCACAGAGAATCGTCGTCCTTTCATGGAGTCTTAGAGGTGGAAGGGACTGCAAGGTCATCTGGCTGTGCCCACTGACATTATGGATGGAGAAATGGAAGCTCTGAGCAGTCACACAGTGACTTGCTGTCCCAGGGCCAGGCCAGCACACAAGCAGACCTGGCACCTGTCTCTTGGCCTGATCATACCTCTGCTTCTTCCTCCAGTCCCCTCTCCCCTAAACCAGTCGCCGAGGCCACTGGTGTGTTGCCATTGCAGGCGTTGCAGACACAGCCCTGCCCACTAGGGCTTCTTCCTGCAGGAGACTCAGGCGGAGGGTCTGCTTGTCAGTGCTGCTTCTCTGGAGAAGCCCCTGAGAGGCTTTGGTGAAGAAGTGTAGAATAAAAGGACAAAATACTGCCACCACTGGACTCATGTCATCACCTCTTTGAATTCTGGGAACAGTTTGTGGGGCCAGAGCAGCATCCACCGTGGAAAGAGGTGGAGCTCATGGGCGGGGCTGTGTGTCCAGGACACAGGAAAACCCGATCAGGTTCTTACTGGGAGTGGCCGTGTGTTCACTCCCTCAAGTCTTCAGTCCCTCTCCCCAGCCCTGGGTCACTCTCAGCTTCCGGGTGTTGTGTAATGAGGTTCTGCCTGAGCCCCATGAGGAGACACTGAACTTGGAAGAACAGGGCTCGTTATTTTCAAATGTTATAAAGAGAACAAAATGTGAAGAAGGTGTTTACAGTCTGAAAATCGCCTCTGGTCAACTTTAGAAGAAATAACTTTCACCTCCTGGTATTTTTACTTGCTAAGGGACAGTCTCCCACCATTGTAATTTTATTCCCCTGAGAAATGTAAATGTGCTCTGTTACCCCTGGGAGGTTACTTAATATTTTGACTTAAAATGAAAATCTCTGCCCTATGTTGCCTGGTGGTGAGCAGATACCACCCATCCACCCTGCCGGCTGAACACACCCACTCTCCTGCAGGCGGGTTTTGAACCTGTGCTTTTCCCTAACTTTGATTCTCTGCTTTCCTTCCATCACGTGCATTCTCTTCCTCTTTGTTAGCCTTCGAGTTTTGAAGCTCAGTTTGGTTTTCCAAGTATACACCCAATTAGTGCCTTCTGTAATTTGCTCCCAACAACTATGAATCATACATTTTTAAAAAGTCCTCTGCTAAATGTTAACTCATCTATTTGTTATGGTTTATTCTGCTTCCTCACTATGTAAAACAACTCAAGACTCATCCTGCTGAGCATCTTTTAAAATCTCAACTCGCATGATGTAAATCCTTTTTATCTAAACGCAGCTTCATGTCCCCGGTCACCTGGTGCCAGACCTGAGCTTTGATATCAGGCTCATACTTCATCTTCCTGTCCTTCCCTTAGAGTTTGTGCCTATCAGGCTGGAGCCATCAAAGTTAATAACAGGAAGAGGAACAGCCTAGAGACGGACGGCCTTCTGTGAGGGGCCAGGAGAGTTGCACCAGTTGCAGGAGGCCTGGGGCGGACACCTGGTTCTCTTAGCACCCTTACCAGATTTTTCCCTCTCTCAGTCTTCTACCCTCATCTGAACAGTGAGGAGATGGTCTGGATGGTTCAAATGAACTGCATGGTCTAAGTTGCTAAATGTAGGAGTGGGACTGAGAAAGGGCGTTGAGGTCTTGCAGCATGGGGTATGGTGAAGGTAGGAAGATGCTAGATGAAAAAGGGGAAGATAAGGCCTGACTGTGGTGTGTTTGGGGCTTCATCACATTGTAGAGAGTCCTGAGCAGGGCGCATAAGAATGCATGAGTTAAAGAGGCTCTCAGAGCCCTGTGCTTTGCCCTTGCTGCACAGTGAAGGGACCACCTCCCCTGCCCCCTCCTCTGCCCCTTCGGCGTCACTGTCAGTGGCTCACCAGAGCCTGGGCTTTGCAGCCTCCTCAAGAACGTCTCTCGAGTTCACTATTCAAGATGAATGTCCTTGTGCCTGTTCTGTGCGAGCAGTTTTTATTTTGATGAAAACAAGTGTTTTTCTTGACCTTTGTGCACGTGGCTGAAGCACACCTTCGAGGAAGCTGATAAGAATGGTGATGGCTTGTTGAATATTGAGGAGACACACCAGTTGATGCATAAGCTCAACGTCAACCTGCCCCGAAGAAAAGTCAGACAGATGTTTCAGGTATGTTTCTGCCATCACTTGGCCTCATGTGAAACACACAATGGAGGTTATTGAGGTACTTAGATATTTTATGGCTATTTTGTTTTGTTGGAAGCTCGTATTCCCTGCTCTGTATTGTCTTATTTCTCTTTGATAAGAGAGGCATTTTATTTCATCAAGGAAAAAACTTCCTAAATTGAACATGCACCCACAATTTCACTTCTAAAATGCTTTTTTGTTGCTGTTGCTGTTTTCAGAGTCATTGTAAGCACTTGACCTGACCCTTAAATAATGGAGTCCGTGGGATCAGGTACTGTGGAGGGGATCATAGTGTCTGATCTGCCCACCTTGCAGGCTGTGTGAAGATCAGGATGGAGACTAAGTAACATGGAAAGCCCCACTGTTGAGTCCTCAAGCCTGTTGTGTTTCAGAGGAGTGAGTTAGAGATGGAGAATCCAGGAGGCACAGGAGCGCCTGTCACTGCTGCCATCAGGCGAGCTCCCCAGGAGCACGCTCAGCTGCTTATTGGTGAGAGGAGGTGCCCCTAGCCCACTGGAAAGTCCTCGAGCAAAGTCCTTGGACCCAGACTTACTGTGTGGCCTCCACAGTAATTGTACTCAGTCCTCAGTCTCAGGGGTGAAAGTGAGTTCTGTTGAGTTTGAGTTGGTGCAAAAGCGAAATTAGAGTTTTAGTAATCACTAGGATATTAATTTGGGAAAGGCTTTTACCTGGAGCTAAGTCACAGGCATAATCGATGTTTTGCAGTGATTTTCTGTTCTCTGTGACTAGGTAGGTGATGTTCTGTACGTGTGAAAATAAGCATGGGGTGATGTTTTATGATGTTTAATGTTTTGTGCTCCCTTTGTTTTCTAACCACTTGTTTTTGGAGGTTCTTAGAGGTTCTAAGGGCAGGAAGAACATGAGGGGTGAGATGCAACCATGATGGAAGATGGAGGCTGGCCTGGTTCTGTGACCTCTACAGTGGTCCTGTCCTTGGGGAGCTCTTGGCTGAGAGGGTTTGCCTTGTGGGGATTGGTTCTGTTGCACTGGAGAGCGGCAGGAGAGGAAGGACAGAAGAGGAGAGAATGAGATCTGCTGTAGAAGCACCCTGGAGAGGGGGTGGGGCCTGTGAGGGGACATGAGTTGTCACAGAGTGAACTGCCTTTAACCTGGAGAGAGGTTTGCCGTGTCCGGCGCTCCTGGGACATCTCCCTTTTGCCCCATGTGAGCTCCAGTGCCCCATCTGCAGCTTTCCACACCAGGTCTTCTTTACACTAGAGCGGTGGCTGCTGATTAAATCAGAGAGGCCAAGCTTGAAGAGGAGGGCAAAGTCCATACCTACAAAAGGGATGCATTTTGGGGTGCTTCCCGGAAGTAAGAGAAGGAGGTGACATAGATACTGGACTATTTTTACTTCTAGGTTTTTTTCCTTTCGGGCGCCTTTTATCTCTAATGCACCAAGCATTTTAGAGGGAAAATCAGGAAAGGCTTCTGTCAAATGTCTCATGAGAGCGAAGTAAATCCTGTAGACAGGTTTTAAGAAAACACTAAGGGTCATTTTATGGCTTCAGATTTGGAGTTGGATGGAGCCAGGCGTGACTGGGTGGCGGCTGTGCCCGCATCTGTAGGGCGTTTCCACTGCCAGCTTCTCGTGAGCAGGGTCAGACGTGCTCGTGGAGGGAGCCACAGGACCGAGGGTCTTCCTGACATTTCAGGACTCTTTCTTTTGTTCCCTCTCTTTTGACCAAATTGCTGGTAAAGACGTAAAGCCTCCCTGGGACTTTCTTTGCCTTTTTGCTGCAGTGCCAGATTCAGCTGATTTTTTTTAAAGGAATCTTTTAAGGTGTGGGTAGCTTGCTTTAGATGCTATTGTCTTAACCTCAGAGGTTTACTGTTCCTAATTGTCAGGCATTTACAGGAAAGTCTTGGAATATGTTTCGTCTCTGTATCCAGGGTTAGGTTTCTGAAACAAAGCTTTGGCAGAAACATGAGCATTAGACCCCGTGTCTTAGGATGCCAAGACCCTGCAACCAGGAGCTCACACACTGGAAGTGCTGATTCTGTAGACCAGTCTGCCTCTGCCTTTAAAATGACAGCCGGCTCCAGCCCTCAGCCTCACAGAGAAACCGTGTGGTTAAGTGTTGGTTGGAGTGGTTGCTCATCATTGACTCAAGGTTAGCAGAGTTTTAAAAAATACGTATTTTTATGAGCACTTTGACTTCCAAAACTGTGTCTAAAACCACACAACAGCTGAGTCTGCTCACAAAATCCATACACTTCCGGATGCCCTTTGTCCTGTCAGTTTTGTCCACTGACAGCTGTGTTCACGTGGAATAAGGAAGAGCAGGTAAACGGACTGGCTGCTCGTTATGCATCCCTCACAGTTTGTGGTTTTATGACAGATTCAGCCAATCAGAAGTAAGATACAGGGCATGTGTCTCACTCAGTAATCCCTGAAACAAGTAATTCCAACCAGAAATCAGTCCAGAGGGATTTCCAGCCCTCTGTAGAGGGAGAGCAGGGGGACCGGTGATGCTGACAGCTGAGAGAGCATGAGCCCCTGACGCTGAGTGGAGAGAGGCTCTGCTATGATTGCAGGTCACCTTTGATTGAGTTAGTTCACAAGCTGGTGCGAGACTGGTGTTTTAGTCATGCATTATGTGTAGCGTTTCTCTGTTGTTCTTGGATAGTCTTGTCCGAGATTTCTCTTTTTCATTAGTTTCTTCAAAAGATCAGCTTTTGGTTTCATTGCTCACCTCTGATGTTATATCTATTTTCTATTTCCTTGCTTTTTGCTTTTGTTTATAGTTTATTTCCTTCTATTTTCTTTAGCTTAGCTTTCTTTTAGCTTTTTGAATTCAATTATTAGCTTATTTGCTTTTGATCTGCCTTGCTTTCTAATAAATTTAAACTTCAGGTTTCCTTCTAATGACTGTATTCCCTTTCTCACACACGTTTAACCTGGAGAGCATGTGTTCACCTCTGTGTGTCATTTCCTATTTAGAAATGTATCATGCTGTTTCCAGGTTTTTTTAAAGCTTTCTTTGTTAATTTATAAATTTACCGTGATCAGAGAAATTGGTTTTTATAAGGTTGGTTCTTTATAATTTGTTGAAACCTTTTGTGGACTAATAGATAGTCGGTTTTTAAGTTGATCCTGTGCCTGAGGCTAGTGGTGGTTCACCATCTGTGGGTGCGTGATGCCTGGTTATGGTGAGTGTCGTCTCCAGGGCTCGGTTTCCTGCTTCGACTCTCACTGCCTCCTTCTCTCCGCGCCTCTTTCAGGAAGCTGATACAGATGAGAATCAGGGGACCCTGACATTTGAAGAATTCTGTGTTTTTTACAAAATGATGTCGTTGAGACGGGACCTTTACCTGCTGCTCTTGAGCTACAGTGACAAGAAGGATCACCTGACAGCGGAAGAGCTGGCTCAGTTTCTCAAGGTGGAGCAGAAGGTATCAGACTATTGAGCGTTTCCTTAAAAATAGGCATGAGAGGCACACAGGCTTCCCTTGGGGTGGATGTGGGGACACTTTAAATTTAGGGGAGAGGGGTCAACATCACAATTCCACAGAAACCTGTCTGTGAGTTATTTAGAATGTGTTTACAGCAGCTTTTATGACGGAGTGATAAATTGAACACTTACACATTTTTTTGCTTTAAATATGTTGAGTATGGCTGTGCATATTTTTCCACAAAGAAATGAATGTGAACCATGTGTTTCATTTTAGATATAATGGTAATGTTTTCTTTATAATAATAATATAGCTATTTTTAAACTATGACATAAGTTTTAACTAGCAAAATAGTAATTCATTGATAATTCTGATAGGAAATTGGCATTTGATCATGAGAAGGTTAAGTAAGTCGTGATTAGCAAAGGGAATCCCTAAATATATTTGAAATAAGACTTTCTTTATTTTGAGGAAGATTAGCCCTGAGCTAACACCTGCTGCCAATCCTCCTCTTTTTGCTGAGGAAGATAGGCCCTGAGCTAACATTTGTGCCCATCTTCCTCTATTTTGTGTGGGATGCTGCCACAGCATGGCTTGATAAGTGGTGCTAGGTCCACGCCTGGGATCCCATTCAGCGAACCCCAGGCCGCCAAAGTGGAACATGCGAACTTAACCGCTGTGCCACCGGGCTGGCCCCTGAAATAAGACTTTAATTTTAATACTACGTAGGCTGAATTGTGGTCAACAAGGCTGGTCTTGTCCTGCTGCTTTTTTTATATTGCCTTAAACTCTGTTCGTTTCTCACTAGAGTAGAAGCATAAATGAATGTTTGGTTTTTTTTCTAGCTTTATTGAGGTATACTTGACAAATAAAAATTGTATGTTTTAAGGTTTGCAGCGTGAGGTTCTAATATACATGCACATTGTGAAATGCTTACGATGGTCAAGCTAATTACCACCTCTCAGCTCGAACAGTTACAGTTTGTTTTCTGGGGTGAGAACTACTGAGATGGACTCTCAGCGGGTTTCGGCATATAATCCAGTATTACCCTTAGATCCCAGAACCTACTCATCCCACGTAACTGAACCTTCTGCCCTCTGACACGTGGTCATCCCTCCCCGTCCCTGCAGTGACCTTCTGCTCTCTCTTTTATGGTTTTCACTTTTTTAGGTTCCAGTGTAAGTGAGATGGTGCGGTTTTTGTCTTTCTGTGTCTGATTTCACTTAGTATGATTTCCTCTCAGTTTAGCCACGTGGTCGCCAATGGCAGGAACAATTGAATCAGTCATTCCCATGTAGTGGAACCTCTCTGAAAAGCCCTGACTTGTGGGGCCTGGAGAGCTTCTGGGTGTTGAGCACAGGGACGTGCTGGGAATGGTGTGCCCAAGAGCAGGGAGCTCCAGCCTCTGTGCCCTTCCCCGGGCATGTCCACGCATTGTTCCTGAGTCTACTTCATAATAACTGGTAACTTAAGTAAAGCCCTTTTCTGAGCTCGGTGAGTCGTTCTGGTGAATTATGGGAGCTGACAAAGACTCTCCTTGACTGGCCTCCAGGCAGGCTCTTCTGAGCCCTGTTTTGACTGGGCCCTGTTCTTGGGCCTCATCCTCAAGGGTCCAGTTGTATCAGGAATCCTGCTAAGTCTCTTTCACCAGAACCTGCTTCCTCAATCTCTGTTAAGCTTCCTCACCTTCCACCCTCCGCAGCTGGTGTCTGATCACTGGCCTGCCTTCAGCAAGAATCTTGTTAGACCAGTGTGGCCAGAACCCCTCACCTGATGTTTCCTCCACTGACCCCCACCCTGCACATTGCTATAGATCCCATTTGTCCATCCTGTGTTCAGAACTGGACCAGTTCTATACTGAGTTCTCTCTTCCCCTCTTGCAATAGTTACTAATTAAAATCTATTTTTACTGCTTTAACTACTGTCCAGTTCTTTTTTCCTTGACAGAATCCCCAGATTTGTAGTAGGCCAGGCAGAAATGAGGTAGCCTGGCACCCCATTTGTGGCTGACATCTGACATGGGGTGGTCTGTGGGACTGAGCCTTCCACTTGTGGGGTCTGAGCTGACTCTAGGTGGTCAGCATCAGAGCAGAATTGAACTGTTGGACACCCAGTTAGTGTCACAGAACGTGAGATCTGGTTGGTGTCAGAAAAAAGACACTAGACCTGGAAATATTTGCTTTACCTCATTATCACAACCTGTACATTCTAGGAATAACAGATTGAGATTTTATGAATTTTGTAGTTGCTTTCTTGAGAGTTAAGCTAGATAGTGTAGTAAAATGTTTTGTCAAATTAGTTATTTTAGTTAGTTTGATAATTTGGCGAAGGCAGAGATTGTCCAGTAGCTGCACAGTCAGCTATTAGACAGCAGAGAATAGGAACAGGGTGACTGAGGAAACTTTTTGCCCAGAGAGATCCTTTCTACATTTCTGCTCTTCTGCCTATTTCTCCATTCTTGCCTGGAGAACTCTTCATGGCCTAGTGGAAAGAACACCAGATGAGGAGCCCGGAAGACCTACGTTCTTCACTGGGTGAGAATCTTCGTGGAGTGTTGGTTTCCTGGCTTGCAGCTTGCAGCAAGGGAGCGGATGCTGCCTTTCCTGTCTCACAGTGTCAGGTTGGAGACTGATTGCGGTGGTGCATGTGAAAGCCTTTTGATGAGATATTCAGAAGCACAGCAATGTGAGAAATTAAAGTGTTTGAAGCTCTTGACTTCCAGTTCATCTGGGCTGGTGGAGGTAACCCGATCCATTTGGATGGCAGCCGCGCGTGTTGCTTGCTAAGGGCGCACGCTCTTCCCTCCTTTTGGTTACACTGACATTCAGCCAGTAAATTTTAGTTGGGAAAACAGAAGAAGCCAGTGTGCTGTGATGCCTGCTCCTGGCAGATGACTACCTGTACCCAGTTTAATTTCCTAGATCAGCTTGGAGCTACATGTGGCATAACTTGAAGAAGTTTAAAACAATCATGATACATCAAGAAGCATAAATTACGAAGGAACATATTCATGTCTTCAAACTTTGAGTTTACATGTGGTCCAGTTTATCAAACAGCATAAAATTAATATCAAGTACAAACTAGGAAAATATTTGCAACATACAAAGAGGGAAATACTGAATTTCCTTAAAAGGAAAATGCTCTTATAGACTATGGAGGAAAAAATGAATACCCAATAGAAAAATAGGCAAAACACTTGAAATACATAAAAAACTCATAAGTCAATAAATCTATTAAAAATGTTCACCCTTCATTAGTAATTTAAAACTATGAAATAAAACCAAGAGACCATTTTTAAACCATCAAATTAGTAAAGGTTAAAAAAAAGCTACTGCCAAACACGGTGTCCATCTCTTATATTTCTGGTGGAGTTGTGGAATGGTGCGATCTTTCTATAGAACAATTTTATTATTTGTCAAATTTTAGGTAACTTATAACACTTTGACCAATTCATTTTATTTCTAGTAATTCACCCTAAGGAAATAATGAAGCATGCACAGCAAAAAGAAGTTATGACACCGAGCCTGAAGTGAGTTCGCTCACCTGTTGCGCAGCAAGCCAATCTTTGACACTGGGTGTGGTGGAAGAAAGTAGGAATTTTATTTTTGCACAGTGCTGAGCAAGGAGAGAGGGCAGCTAACGCTGAAATCCCAAACTCCCCGAAAAGCTAAAAGGAAGGGTTTTTATTTGGGGTTTTAGATAGGGGAGGGGGAGCATACGGCCTTGCTGGTCGGAGCTTTCCCACCAGCCTGTCTTTGGCCTTGAGACTACTTGCAGAGAGGAGGAAGCCTGTGATCTTGCTGGTCAGCAGCTTTCCCACCAGCCTGTATCTTTTTGTGAAGAGGAGATAATCCAGGTGCTTGTCCTTGACAGTATCTGTCTCCATGGAGGATAGTGGATTCTGGAGCCAGGAAGCCAGAGAGTAAGCAGGGAATGAGTGCTTTGATGTTAACCCCATATATGCTGGGTTTAATGTGGGGAAACTGATATCAGGGTCTGTATCAATAATGTTCTGAATTTCATCATTCTTTAAAATAGAGAAAAATTAGACATGATCTAAATGTGCAGCAAGAGAGTCATTAGTCCAGAGTTTTGTGGATTTTCAGTTTTGAAACAAGATTTTCTCAATGGAACAAATCTGAGGCCGTTTGATGTTCCATGTGGCAGTGATTCGCTCGTCTCTGATGGCATGAGACGGGTGTAGACACCAGAGTCTTCAACTTCTAAGGATTTACTCAGTTGTGAAGTGAAATACCCCTGCTGGCCACATCCACTCTCAAGGACACTCTGAAATCAGGTACTGGCCCATGGGTCAGATCTTCCTTTCAGAGAAGCTCTCTGAAAACTGAGTTTATGCCTCTGACATGTCCCGCTACTGTTTGATTAGTACTTTCATCCCTAGAACGTAGATGTCTAAGGGAAATTTGCGCTGTCCTTTACATCCACGAAGAAGTGCCAGTTAAGCGGGGAGCCAGTGGCCGCGGTGTCACCTCCGCCGCTGCCTTGCGTCCCCTGATGAGGACCACCGATCTCACTCCTCTGCAGCTGCCAAGCACTAGGGCTGGTTGAGTTTTCTGTTATTTGCCCTGTGGTTGTGCAGACAGAGTCCCCCGTCTCTGCCAGAGACCCGCTGGTTTCTCAGCCCCGGGCGAGGCACTCTGTGTTCAGTCCTTTTCAGAGCCCTGGGTCCGAGGGGTGGTCTGAGGTTGTCCCTGCCCCTTGACAGCCTTCCTAGCGAGTCCCCACCCACCTCGGATTCGTGCGCTTCTCCTGGCTCGAGGTGAGAGGAGGAGGCAGGAGCCTGGAAGCCCCGACAGTCTGGAAAGCCACCTGCTGGCTGAGCCAAGGATGCGGGGAGAGCCGCTTGCAGTTTGCATGGCGCCTCCACCGGGCGTGTGCAGGGGCGTCCATGCAGGGTGGTGGTCCGGGATGAGAGGGGGGCATCCATGCAGGGGGTCGGGGGCGGGGCGTGGCGGGTGCCTCCCACCCTGCCCGGACCT